CCCCAGGTTCACGGAGGCACGCAAACCCCTCCACCACGATAAGGTGGCAATCCAAGGAACAATCCTTAATCAAATAAAATTACTTTTGCATTCTGAAATGTAAACAATATTAAATATAAATATAACACAGAGGAAATTAATCAAAAGCAGATGAATCTATTGAAAATGAAGCAGTGATGCCAGCCAATGGTAATAAAAAATGGAACCAAATGACAATACAACTGTCGGCACACACGTCTCGAATCGAACAATATAGATTTTTTTCCGGAACCATTCCATCCCTACTACCCAGCCCTAACCATAACCATAAATAACCAAGTAAAATACGAGACTTTTGCCATTTTTACTTTTTTGAATTAATTCCCAGATCTTTGTGGGGACCTGAAAAATGGTCCCCACAATGTTAAATAAAACAAGTTATCACATTCTGGGGTACATTTGTTCCCCCACAATGTAATATAAACATAATTCACAAACATACTATATGGGCAAAAGTATTGGGACACTTGCCTGTTCCACCTACAGGAACTTCTATGATAACCAGGAGACAGAAGTCTCTGTGTAGAATTCCAAAGTGAATCTTATATTGCATCCACGTAGGTTACATCAAAGACTGGGCACTGTGCAGGAGTGTCTCCCATGGTGAATTACACTGATTTTTATAAACTTTTCATATCTCTTATCAAGAAACTTCTTTATGCTTTGCCTGGTAAAATAAAGGTTAAATAAATAAACCAAGCATCATCCTTTCTGGACCAGTTCATTATCATTGTGCCACCCCTTCCGGGGCTCAGAGTCCTCCCCCCTAAGTGTCTTTATTCCTACGCTTTTGGGTCCTATTCCTTCCCCATCCCTATATGATAGGGCTGCCAATCATTTTCTTCCAGAAACACAGTCATAGCAAAAGGGCCTCCACAATGTGTTGTACACTCATGGCAGAGAGCCCACAAAACAGCCAAGGGCATTATGATGGCGACCCAAGCAAGACGCCCCGAACTACTGTGAGAACCCAGGTGTTTCTTCAATAATGAACAGTAGCAGTCTAGCTGCATGTTGCTTAGCTACAGAGCCAATTACATTATTTGGCCTTCAACATAGCGATAAGCTGCAAAGCTAAATAAGGTAGGTATTCATACAACCAGGCCTAAAATAAGATACAGAAACTTTGAGGCTAACATTAGGTGCAGAAACACTTATTTTGGCTACATCGTGCAGCGGCAATTGGGCTATATTCTCTAAAGGTTACAAGGTCACATTATATTCTGCAGATTACATCTTTACAGTATAGTCCTAAGAATTACACTTACTAACTGTTATAGAGTGCTATAAAATATTCCATAAGGTAACATTCTCCTGGCATCCGCCAAACTGAGACTTCCATCAGACTGCCAGACAGAGAGGCTTGATTCTTCACTCCACAGAATATGTTTCCACTGCTCCAGAGTCCAGTGATGAAGTGCTTTATGCTGGCAACTTTTACACCCTATGCCACTTTGCAGCTGTTTCTCTTGTTCCTAAACACTTCCACTTTGCAATAATACCACTTTCAGTTGATCGTGGAATATCTAGAAGGGAAGAAATTGCACAAACTGACTTATTGCAAATATGGCACCCTATGACAGTACCATGATTGAGTTCACTCAGCTCTTCAGACTCATTCTTTCACAAATGTAAATAAACCTGATGTATGGCTAGGTGCTTG